TTACTGATTTACATAACCAGTCTCCATTAATTTAATCAGTCTCTTTTGATCACCAAATTAATTCCAAATTAATTTCTAATCAATACTAATTAAATAATATGATTTCTCAATTAATATATTATTCTTATAATATATTAATAAATCATAATAAATCCTCTTTCTCCATAATTCATCCTATTAGTTGCTAAGGTGAAGGCAACCCAAAAGGACCATGCTCATAATCAGGTCAAGCACATACCAAAATAGTTATGAGCTTAGACACCTAATCCAACAATTTTACCCTTAGAAGGATTCTCAGTTTTTGACTAAGTGTTTATTGTGAAAATTATAGTCGGGGAGTCGTTGGAGCAGCCATCAGAGATTCCTTACTCGAGATTTCAGCAGCCAACTTGAGAGGTGAGTTTTCCTCCAGTGGGAACGGGTCGAAGGCACCAATGCCGGCCCGTTTATGTATGTTAGCGTATGCCAGACTTCGGTCCGATGGCGGGGCTAGCCCGATGTATATTATATGTTTCAGGACTTCAGTCCGATGCTGGGGCAAGCCCGATGAACGTTTGTATGCTTGATGTCTTCGTGATTCTTACATGTGTTTGTTTATATGTTCCGGACTTTGGTCCGATGCCGGGGAAAGCCCAAGGAATGTTTAGTTATATGCTATGTGTTATATGTTCCAGATTTCGGTTCGATGCCGGGGCAAGCCCGAGGAAGGATTTAGCTTATATGTTTATGTTATGTGTTTATGTTATATGCTTGTTCATATGTAATATGTATATCAGACTTCAGTCTGATACCGGGCGGGGCCCGATGCCATGTATGGTATTATGTGATTATGTGTATGATATGTGGTAGTTTGGGGAGACTTACTAAGTTTGTGCTTACTGTTTTTAGTTTTGGTTTCAGGTACTTCTGCTAGCAAGGGGAAGAGCTCAGGATGACTGCATGGCACACACCACAACTTTTAGCCTGTTATGTTTAGACTATGATATTTTGACATGTGATTGATACAACATTTTTGATACGATGTTTTGAGATACATGACTTGTGATTTTATTATTATGATGTTTGATGAATTATGGTTTTTCTTAAATGATTTAAAACGAAAATTTTGGACCGTATTTTTGGGATGTTTCACCTACCTTAGCACCTATAATGTTATGTTATTCAAAGTGTAAAATGAGTTTCGGTTGAAAACTCCTTTTTGAAAACCTTTTACTCATCTAAGATGATTGATAATGTAATGTTTATAACAAGGTGTTAATATAGTTGAATGAATTGTTTTTAGTGCCATTTCACAAATCAAATTATGTAAGACTTACTTTAATACGTATAACGATATGTTATCGACATGCATAATGAGTTTCTTCTCAAAACTGATTTATGAAAACCTTTTTACTTAACTATGAAGATTAATAATATAACGTGTTTTATAACAAGTTGTTAATATAGTTGAATGAATTTTTTTCATATCCATTTCATAAATCTAAATATGCAAGTCCTACTTTAATGAGTTATGGATCAAAACTCCTTTGTGAAAACCTTTTACTTAGCTAAGAAGATTGGTAATGTAATGTTTAGAACAAGGTGTTAATATAGTTGAAAGAATTGTTTTAGTTCCATTTCACAAATCAAATTATGCAAGACTTATTTTAATACGTATAGAGTTATGTTATTGACATGCATAATGAGTTTCTTCTGAAAACTCATTTATGAAAACCTCTTTTAGACATTTAGAGTGTTGTTGTGCATAAAAATATGATCTTGAGTGTTGTATGTAATCCATGCATGTGTTAGATGGTCTTATTGGGTTAAGAACATAAGGTTTTGGACATTAAGCACTTTACAACCATGCAAAGTCATAAAGTTGGAAACTTTATGACTTAGGACATCATTTAGGGTTTGGATATGAGTTTTGGATGGAAGGGCTTAATGGAATAAGCTCTTAATGGAGTGTTAGGACTTGGCAGCATACGCTGGGCGTACCTGGAGGTACGCTGTCTGTATACGACCATCACCCAACTTTTGGTTAACATCAGAGTACGCTGGGCGTACTCTCTTGGTACGTAGGGTGTACTGCGCTAGGAAGGAATATTGACTTTTAAACCTTGACCCACTTTGCCTTTGACCAGGGTTGACCAAGTTTGACTTAAGGGTATTTAAGTTATTTTGAGCTATAGTTAAGCCTTGGTCTCTATCTGTTGAATATGTGACCTATAAAGCCGTTATTCGGAGCAGTGTATTATTCAACTATTCGTCAGACTGCGAGATGAGTTTTCCTCATTGTACCCGTGGGTTGAAGGCACCAATGCTGACCCACTAGATTATTTATCATGGTCAGGATAGTGTTGTGATAGTTTGTAGTTGTTTAGTAGATTTGTATGATTGTATGTATTTGCTGGCTCTGTGTTTATGTTTATCTGTTGCATATGTTGACATGTTGTGTTGGGTTGAGGTGGTTCTACTTTGTGTTGTAAACCAAGACACTCGGGGATGACCGAATAGGTTGTAGGCCCTGCTAGGCGGTCCAGTCAGGCCGGCGACCCGTAGAGCGGTCCAGATAGGCTGTAGGCCCCACAAGGAGGTCCAGTCATGCCGAAGGCTCGTAAAGTGGTCCATAGGCTGTAGGCCCTGCGAGGCGGTCCGGTCAGGCTGGGTGCACATATTTGTATGCTTTTTTGCTATGTGGTGTGCTGGTACTTTGGGGGAAATCACTAGGCTTTGGCTTACAGTTTTTAGTTCATCGTTTCAGGTACTTCTGAGCATCGTGGGAAAGCAAAGACGTGATCGTTCACATCTTCCGGTTTTATGTCACCGGGTCTTGGGAAAACTCTGATTTTGAAATAATGCTTTTGGAACAATGACTCTTTTTGTAAACAGTGTTAGTGAATGATTGATTTTGAAAATTTTAAATTTCTTTGATTTTTGGAGTGTTACATAAACAAACGAAGTATTTAACAACTTTTGGCCTTACAATGTAATTTATTTTATTTCATTACAAAGTAACTTTTTTTTTGTATTTGTTCTTTATAAAAGATACTAATTTTATAATCTTTATTGTGATATTAATATACCACATTTGTCGTCATTTATGATCCGACACATTACATAACATATTGTATCATTGTTATTCTCTTATTTTTATTGACAAAGATATGTTTATAAAAGTTAGTGATAACATGGAAAATGCCAAAAAAACATAGACAACTCGTAAATATTAATATATTTTAACCATATAATTACTCTTTCCTCCACGAGATTCGTGCAGTATATATAAGACAAAATTACATAAATAGTCATTGTGGTTGATAAAATTGACCAACTCTAGTCCTTATGATGATTCTTTTGCATAGATGGTCCCTGTGGTTTCAAAATCTTACAAAAACGGTCCTTTCGGCTAACGATGTTAACTTTTTCAGTTAAGTCCCATGTGAAATGACATATTTACCCTTCTTGCCATATGGACAGTTTATGCAATTTGTTCCTGCTACAGGGACCATTTATGTAATTTTGTCTATTATTTGTTATTGTATTATTATTATTATTTTTTTTAATTTAGACTTTTTAACGTTTTGTATAAATACATTGTTTAATGTTCTTTTTTTTATATTTTTTCGCTTACATTTTAAATGTTTTATCATTCCATTTTTGACGTTTTGTTCTAAAAAAAATTTCCTAATTTTTTGAGGTTTTGTTCAAATACTGTTTTAATGTTTTTTTTTTTTATGAATTAATCAAATATATTTTTCTACTTTTTTTTTTTTGATGTTTTGTTTGAATACATTTATTAATGTTTTTCTTTGACATTTTCTTCGAATACATTTTTAATGTTTTGTTTGTTTATATTTATTAAAAATTTCATGGTCGCTGTAATCATAATTCGTGATTTAATTCACTTACAATCTTGTTTTCCTTTTTCTTTTTTGTTCCTCTATAATATTAATGTTATATAATTATTATTTTTTAATTTAAATATTTAAATATATCACACATATAAGATTGTATAATTCTTAGTTTTATAAAAAATATTTTTTACCCACAACGACCAAGTCATTTCAAATTGAACCTAACTATAATGTTTGTAAGTTAGTTTTTGTTTTTAGACATTTTATTCCTTTTAGAGTTATACAGATTCTGATTAATCTATGTATAACTTGGCATCCGTTTTGGATTCTGACTAGCCTAGATATTCTGATTGTACACATATGCTATAACTTAAGACCGCTTCATAGCCTTGTCAAGAACGATCAAGTCATTTCACATTGGACTTAATTGTAATGTTTCCGAGTTATTTTCTATTTTTAACAAACCATTATAAAGTTTTTTTGCAAAAGATATTTATAAAAAGATTTACAATAGTACTAAATATACAACCTTATATGTGTTATATAAATATTTGAATTAACAAATAATAACTATGTAACCTTATCTATATTAAAAGAACAAAAAGGAAAAAAAAATAATTGTAAGTGAATTAAGTTAAGAATTATGATTACAATGCCCATGAAATCTTTAACAAATATAAATAAACAAAATATAAAAAAACATTAGAAAAATGTATTCAAACAAAACATCATAAAAACATTAATAAATGTACTTGAGCAAAACGTCAAATAAATAAATAAATAGAAGAATTTATTCGAACAAAACCTCAACAACAAAAAATAAAAAATGTAAGCGAAAAAAATGTAAAAAAACATTACAAAATGTATTCAAACAAAACGTAAAAAAAAAAATCTAAATTACATAAGTGGTCTTTGTGGCAAGAACAAATTACATAAATGGTCCCTATGGCATGAAAGACAAATATGTCATTTCATATGGAAGTTAACTGAAAAAATTAAGACCGTTAGTAAAACATTGTTTTTGCAAGATTTTGAAACAAAGACTACCTATGCAAAAATACCACCATAAGAACTAAAATCGATCTATTTAGTCAACCATAAGGACCATTTATGTAACTTTGTATATATATAATGACTTCCACGAAAAAAGGGGAAAGGGGGAAAAGGGATTTTGACTTCTCAGCAGATGACAAAAGTCGCTGATCACAAGATATAATGCTAACAGAATCTTTCTACCCGCCCTTTCCTTTTATCAATTGCTTAGAGAGACTGATATAGCCAAATTTCCTTCACCACCAGCCAAAATTGTCGGCCCAATCTATTTGTCGTACTAACGATTCTCGATCATGCCCTCTTTCAGATTGTTCGTAAGCAGTGACGATCACACGATTAACCAAATTTTCATATCCCTTCCACAATTGGGGCCACCTTTCAATTTCAAATGGGGCCAAGATCTGTCTATAAGGTGGACTTCGACTGTGGAAGTAAGATCACTCCCGCGGCACTTTTGTTCCCATGCAAACGATCACGTAATTTCACTAGTTGCTCTGTAAGTGACCTAATTTTGTCCTCTAGGGTTTGTAACTTGCAAGTAATTGAAGTACCAAACTGATAATTGGTATATCGTCGTTTCAGGTGGGACTCTGTCAGTTAGTAGCACAATCCTTTTCTGTTGTGTGAGAATGGGTTTTGAGCCACTGGTTTGGTTTTGCCGGCCGGAGGAAAATGGCATTTGGGCAAAGACAACCGCTAGTGCTCTTGGTGCTTATACACCGTGTGGCATTGAATCGTTTGTGGGTTGTATATCGAATGTGGTTTTGATGGGGTTGTGCTTATACAGATTATGGTTGATCAGGAGAGACTTTAGGGTCCAGAGGTTTTGCTTACGCTCAAAGTACTATAACTATATGTTGGCCATTTTAGCAGGTTATTGTGCTTCAGAGTCCTTATACAGGTTACTTTTGGATGTTTCGATGTTTGAATTTGATGCACAAAGTAGCCTTGCTCCATTTGAGGTATATATTTCCTTTCAATCTTGTCGTGACACTCAACATCAGAGCAAAAAAAATTATTTAATTTATAGTTTTTCACCAAAATCTTTAAACACCTCAATTAGTTAGAAAATTTGGGAATTAAAGACTCCAAAACTCTGAATCTCACAGGCTTCAACCTTGGGTGGCTTGTTGTTATAAAAAAGTTAGAAATTCGGTCAGACCCTTCCCAGCTGTAAAGTGCTGTATGGATGAACAGCGTTTTAAAAACACACTTGGGGAATGGAAGGAAAAATAAACTGCCCTGGTTAAGTCCTATAAATAAAAAGAAACAACACCCAACATTGTTAGCATATGAGTTGACTTGATAAAAACAAAAAGATGAAAGAGATTTTATTAATGTTTATGCAGGCAGTTTCGCTATTCCTTGAGACCCTTGTTTGGAGCTGTTTGGTGATTATGGCTCTTTTGGAAACTAAAGTGTATATTAGAGAGTTCCGGTGGTATGTCCGCTTTGGTGTACTTTATGTCTTGGTTGGGGATACTGTGAAACTTAGTCTCATTCTTTCAGTAAAAGATTTATACCCAAGGTCAGTATCATGCTATTTCCTTTGTTTAAACTACTTGCATTTTCAATTCTAAATCTGATATAATATTTCCTTTTTTCATATAGTTAATATGAAAAAAATAAAAAAGGGTTTATTAGAAAGTATAGTGCAGCTATTATTATAACAATGGCACCCCTCTCAGTTAAATGATGATTGGGATATTTGGAATGCATACTCACAGTTGTATTTTGTTATGCAGCTCTGTACTTTATGCGTACATCAGTTCATTGCTCTGCCAGGTTTGTTTTTTGTATTGTAGAAAAAAAAAATATATATATATTCTAGTTATTTTCAGAAAATAAAATTTTAATTTAATTATGATCATATGGAATTAAAACAAAAAAGATTTGTGTCATTAAGAACTACAAATAAAAATGGGTTATAAAAACACCCCCTTGCTATGGAATCACATTCCCTCACCAATATTAATAATGGTCTATTTCATCATATCAGACACAAGAAACAATTTTTTTTCATTACATTTCTTCTCCGATCCCATCAAACACTACCTTATAGTAGAAGTAAATGGCGACTCCAAAACAACAAAGGAACTAGGAAACCCATTTAAATAAGATTTAAAATTGTGATCATTAATGCTGAATTTATTGATTCTTTATGTGATGCAGGGTTTATTTGGAGTATTTCTTCTTTCTTACATACCAAATTTGGATGCCTACATGGGTCATATACCACTTCAAACAGACCCTCATGATGACATCAAGTATGAAGTGCTTCATGGAGGAGAACATATTTGCCCTGAAAGGCATGCCAACATATTTTCAAGTAAGACTCTGTTTATTTTTTGGATAAATTGAGGAAATGACAGGACACTTGTGAAAACGGAAGGAAAAATTTGTAAAAAGGAAACACTCTAGTGCATTTAATTCGTAATTTGAGAAGCAAGTAGGTCTCCAAAACTCGATATTTTTTTATTCATAAAAAAAAAAAGAAATATAGAAGTGTTCTGAGATAATCCCATCCTAAAATAAAAGATACTAACAGATATCCTAATTTTAAATAAAGATAGCTACTACCTAATTGAATAAATAGTTAACTAACTACTAATTAGTCGATAATGTTGACCAAATTAAATCCATTAAGTAAATAACAGCATATATTTATTATTTGTTAAAGTGTTTAGTGATATAATACGGTGGGTTTTGGCAGGAATATATTTTGGATGGATGACTCCCCTTATGGAGCAGGGCTACCGAAAGCCTATAACAGAAAAAGATGTTTGGACATTAGATACGTGGGACCAGACAGAGACACTGAGTAGGAAGTTCCAAAAATATTGGGCTGATGAATCTCACAAGTCAAAACCGTTTCTCTTACGCTGTCTGAATAACTGTGTTGGAGGAAGGTGACTATTTTTACTTCTATTTTCAATGCTATGCTTTTCATGTCTTTTGCACAGACGAGAGTGAAGCCTTTTTGCTTGGGACAAAATTTGCAAACTCTGTTTCTCCCATTGACATCAGTTCCACCAAACCTGGTTTTTATTTAACTATTGGCTGTTGGTTGTCCTCTGCAGGTTCTGGTTTGGTGGCCTTTTCAAAGTAATGACCCTCAACTTTTGAATTACTTCACTTGCTACATTCAACTAACTCAGTCAAGATCCACATCATTTCATTTGTAGGTTGGCAACGATCTTTCCCAATTTGTAGGACCAGTTATATTAAACTATCTTCTACAGGCAAGTCCCATTTTGTTTATTTTTCGTATAAATATTAGGTAAAATAAACAATCATCATATCAGTTTACAAAACAACCATTTACAACTGAAACTTTATGTTCTTGTTAAATGTTAAGGGTGACCATATTGATATGATCCATCTTTTTGCATTGCAGTCTTTGCAACGAGGTGATCCTTCATGGATAGGCTACATCTATGCCTTCTCAATTTTTGTTGGTGTGGTATGTAGTAATTTGTTTGTCTTTGATATGCTTATTTATAACTTCACATTTTGCGAGAAAAAGTATATAGAAAAAAAAAGGTAGTGCTAACAAATAGTCAACTATTATATCCAGTCATTAGGAGTTCTCTGTGAAGCTCAATACTTTCAGAATGTTGCAAGGACCGGGTTCCGTATAAGGTCAATTTTGGTAAGTTGTTTATTTTAATATTTAATATTATCTTTACATGTTATTATTAGGTAGTGTTTGGTATTATGCAGTCAGGATGGGAATGAGTGGTTCCGTGTGTTTTATTGGAATGACATAAGCTGTTTGTTTTGTCTCATTCTCATGAAATGGAATCAACCATTCTTGAAGGAACATGAATCCTTCCAATTTGTTAATTTTCATTCCTTGTCCATGGGAGGGGGTATGTTTTCTCATTCTGTCATGGAATGAAAAATTGTAATATTTATCATTTGTATCTATGTAATCTATAATGCCTTTTTCCAAGCATTTCATGTTTTTCTAAAAGTAGATAGAATTATAATTTTATTTGGGTTTTGATGATATTTTATTATGTTTAAATTTCCATTTTTAGATTTAAAACTATACATTATTCTTGCATATGATATAATAATATTGATATGTTCCAGACATGTATAAAGGAAGGATTTTTACCTTGAAGTTGTGTGTTGTTTCTTTATTTTAGGACCATATATTATAATTAATGTGTGCTGGATGATTCCTTGTAGTCGTGGGTGTAAATGATATACAATATTCGCCAGAAACTGATTAGTGTACTGTGTATATTGTTACAGGTGGCTGCTGTGTTTCGAAAATCCTTAAGGCTGACCCATGAAGCACGAAAGGATTTCCCATCTGGGAAAATTACAAATATGATAACCACAGATGCCAATGCACTCCAGGTGTGTATGTGTGTATGTATTTGTTTCTTGATGTTACCAAAAACAAAAAAATATCAACTTATTACTATTTACAGCAAGTATGCAATCAACTTCATGGGTTATGGTCAGCTCCATTCAGAATTGTTCTTTCCATGATTCTTCTTTACCAACAATTAGGGGTTGCTTCACTTGTGGCTTGTCTGCTTCTGATTCTCATGTTCCCTGTACAGGTAATTTAAAAAAAAAATATCAAGTTTGAAATCCTTGTATTAAAAAAAAACAGGGTTTCTTTAAAACATAAAAGTTTTATACATACTGTTTTTTGTACTTATTTGTGATGGCTGATGCTGATCTGATAACAGACGATGATTGTGAGCAAAATGCGGAAATTATCCAAGGAAGGCTTACAGTACACTGACAAAAGAGTTGGGCTAATGAGTGAAATAATGGCGGCAATAGAGACTGTAAAGTATGTATTATATTATATTAGTATTTATATTTATTTTGCGAAGGAACCTCACAGACTTTTGGTAAAATGGATATTTCAGATGTTATGCATGGGAGCAAAGTTTCCAAACAAAAGTTGAAACTATCAGGAAAGATGAGCTTCTATGGTTATGGAAATCACAATTTCTGGGAGCGGTCAGCAAACATTTTTCTTAAATTTTTATTACTGTACATTGTTAAAAAAAAAGTAAGTTCCAAATTGTTTACTTTTGTTTGCAATTGCCATTGCAGTGCAACAATTTTATACTCAACAGCCTTCCGGTTCTTGTGGCGGTGATTTCATTTGGTGTCTTCACTTTGCTTGGTGGAGAGTTGACACCTTCAAGGGCTTTCACATCACTTTCCTTATTTACAGTGCTTCGAACTCCTTTAAACACGCTTCCTAATTTAATAACTCAGGTTCTCTCTCTCTTTCTCTCTCTCTCTCTCTCTCTCTCTCTCTCTCTCTCTCACTAATCAATACATATCTGCTCTTTTTGGGTGCGAATGAGATAGTTAGTTGTTTGTTTGTTTTGTAGGCTGTGAATGCATACGTATCGTTACAGCGTTTAGAGGAACTATATTTAGGTGAAGAAAGAATTCTGTTACCCAATCCACCTCTTGAACCGGGGCTTCCTGCAATTTCCATAAAAAATGGCTACTTTTCATGGGACCCGAATGCCACAAAACCAACATTAGCAGATATAAACATAGATATACCAGTTGGCAGTTTAGTTGCAATCGTAGGTGCTACAGGTGAAGGAAAAACATCCCTTATTTCAGCGATGCTTGGCGAGCTTCCTCCTTTGGAAAATACTAATACTAGTACTAATACTAATACTAGTGTTGTCATCAGAGGAACCGCTGCCTATGTCCCTCAAATTTCTTGGATATTCAATGCTACAGTAAGGCCCTTTTTCTCTAAAAGTAAACTCCCAATTTTTCAATGCTACACAAACATACATCATTTCACTTTACAATTTTTTGTTTCGTGTCTGTCTGTAGGTACGTGAAAACATACTATTTGGATCAAAGTTTGAAGCTTCACGATATTGGAAGACTGTACAAGTAACTGCATTGCCGCATGACCTTGATATTCTGCCAGTTAAGTGTCCCAATACATATTATTTAGAGCATCAAAGTTATGCATCTTTTTAAATTGTGTGAGCTTGATTCTTGAATTTTGGTGTTCTTTTTCTTAGGGTCGTGATCTCACGGAGATAGGTGAAAGAGGAGTGAATATTAGTGGTGGACAAAAACAAAGAGTCTCAATGGCTAGAGCAGTGTACTCAAACTCAGATGTCTACATATTTGATGACCCATTGAGTGCTCTAGATACTCATGTTGGTCGAGAGGTAAATTTATGGTACCTTCTTTTCGATTTTCTTATAATAATAATAATGATTGCAGAGTATACTAATTATGAAAATATACCTTTTCTTTAATTAATGATTTCACTATTTGGATAAAATGATATTAAAAAAGCATTCAAGGAATGTTCACATATTATATATGAAGAAAAATTTGTAAAAAGTTAGGATTCCCAGGGGTCCGACTTTCTCTATTAAGTCGAAAAAGGAAACACTCATGTATAGGCATAGGCATAGGCATAAGGCCTGCTTCTTTGTTTCCCGGCTATAGGAGAAAATAAGTAAGCACAATTGAAGGAAAAAATCTAGGATTTAATGGGGAAAGAACTTTGTCTGTTACATGATGAAGTAAATAAGAAACTAGGTCGGGGTACATATATAATATAGGTTATCAGATGAAGTACATAAGCTTAGCTTAGTCTTTTTATGATAATCACGTAAATAAGATACTGACTGGAAACAGCATACATGTCATGTCCTCCAGGTGTTTGAAAGGTGCATCAAGGAAGAGTTGCAAGGGAAAACAAGGGTGCTTGTTACAAACCAGCTTCATTTTCTTCCTCAGGTGGATACAATTCTGTTGGTCTCAGAAGGTATGGTCAAAGAGGAAGGAACTTTTCAAGAGCTTTCAGAAAGTGGGTTGCTATTTCGGAAATTAATGGAGAAGGTGGGTGGAATGGATGGAACCACTGAATGCACAACCGATACATCCTCAAAACCATATTCTGATCATGACTCAATAAATGATCCAACAACCATTACACTTACATCATCAAAAAAGAATCATAAATCTCTTCTTATCAAGCAAGAAGATAGGCAAACCGGCATTGTTAGCTGGAAGGTTTTAGCAAGGTAAACTTTAGGGGCTGTTGATAAATTGTTATTTCTTTGGAAGCTTAGGGCTGTGCCTGTGGTTATTACATTACATACAGGTACAAGGATGCTTTAGGAGGCCTGTGGGTTGTCATTATATTATTAGCATGCTATATTTCAACCGAAGTCCTTCGAATTTCAAGTAGCACATGGTTAAGTTACTGGACAGAGCAAAGCACTACAACAGCTCGGGCCCCCGCTTTTTACATTCTCATCTATGCCCTCTTGTCCATCGGACAGGTACCTACACTCTACATACTAACCTCAAATCTTTTTTATTGTTAAAATTCCCTCCTCAACCCGTCAAAATATTGTTTTTTGTTTTTTTCTTAAAGTTCTGTATGTTGCTGTTATTATTACGTCAAATCGTATTACCAGTCATATTTTCATATATTTGGAAATGAAAACCTAAGTTAAGGGATTTCTAACATATCAAGCGAACATTTTGGATAGTTGGTTACCTTTAACCACCCTACCCTTTTTATGCAGGTATTGGTGACATTTGCAAATTCTTTCTGGTTAATTTCATCAAGTCTCCACGCTGCTAAAAAACTTCATGATACATTGGTGTATTCGGTCCTTCGAGCTCCCACAGCCTTTTTCCAAACAAATCCCCTTGGTCGGGTGATCAATCGCTTTGCAAATGATATCGGTGATATAGATCGTAATGTTGCTAATCTTGCCAATACATTTCTGAATCAAGTTTGGCAATTACTTTCCACTTTTGTGCTTATCGGCATTGTCAGCACTATATCTTTGTGGGCCATAATGCCTCTTCTTCTTCTGTTTTACACTGCCTACCTCTACTATCAGGTTAGTAATTTAGATCTTAATGTGGAGTACCCATTATAGAAACATACTTACATTTTTTTAATGATAATAGCAACGTACTTATATATATATATATATATATATATATATATATATATATATATATATGTTTTACCAAACCTATGGGCATAGTACTCTATGCTTGCTGTTACCGGTAACGAAATGTAAGTATGTTGCTATAACAAGTAAGGAATTGTAAGTACGTTGTTATTATGTCTAAAGAAAATGCAAGTTTGTTGCTACTATGGTTTACATACTGCTGTTATCATTAAAAAATGTAAGTAATCGCAAAGTCAGCTATTATGGGTGGAAAATAAAGTGTGGTAAAAAGGGTAAAGTACACTGCTATTTCCTGCAACTTGCACATAATAGCTTAGCAACATCCTTATATTATCTTAATTATAATAGCAATGTACTTTACTATTCAACGGACTTACATTTACTACCAATATGAACGTAGTAGGTTTTGTTACATATTGGTGCTATTAATTGGTAAAGAAATGCACGTATATGTTGCTATTTGTGTAAAGTAAATTTAAATATGTTGCTATTATGTTGTACATATGCTATTTATTATCGGTGAGAAAATGTAAGTATGTTTCAATTAAATAAACGTGAGTACATAGCTAAATAGTATGGGTGACAAATGAAGTACATTATTATTGGCTAGTAAAGTAGGTTGCTATTTTATTTATGAGGTATGCATGCTAAGATGAAAAGTTTTTGGTGCAGAGCACCTCAAGGGAAGTGAAGCGGTTGGACTCCATTACAAGATCTCCTGTGTACGCACAATTTGGCGAAGCATTAAACGGTTTATCAAGTATCCGTGCTTACAAAGCATATGATCGTATGGCAAGAATTAATGGGAAATCAATGGACAACAACATTAGATTCACCCTCATAAACTTTAGTTCCAACCGTTGGCTCACCATAAGACTAGAAACATTAGGCGGCATAATGATTTGGTTCACGGCCACATTTGCAGTGATGCAATCGGGAAGAACACATGACCAAGTAGCTTTCGCATCCACAATCGGTTTGCTCCTAAGTTATTCCTTAAATATCACAAATCTTATGAGTAATGTTCTAAGACAAGCAAGTAGGGCGGAAAATAGTTTCAATGCGGTTGAGCGTGTGGGCACGTATATCGACTTGCCGTCTGAGGCTCCGGAAATAATTGAAAACAACCGCCCGCCGCCCGGATGGCCGTCATCGGGTTTAGTTGAGTTTGAAAATGTGGGATTTCGGTATAGACATGGTCTTCCTCCCGTCTTGCATGGCGTCTCCTTCGCTGTATCACCGTCCGAGAAGGTTGGGATTGTTGGAAGGACGGGTGCCGGAAAATCTACAATCATCAATGCATTGTTTCGGATGGTTGAATTAGAAAAAGGAAGAATCCTTATTGATAATTATGACATTTCCAGTTTTGGATTGAAGGATTTGCGTAAAGTTCTTGGGATTATACCACAATCACCTGTTCTTTTTTCAGGTATGATTATCGGCTTGCTTGCATTTGCATGGGACTCACTCATCTCATCTCCATGGGAGAGTGGATTTTTTTCCCCTCCTTCACCTTATCCTTATCCTTATCCTCCAATACTTTTTTACAAACAGTGTTTGTATTTTTGGGCCTAATGTAAATGTAATAGTGGAAATATGTATAAAATACAACAACTTTTTGTCATTTTCCCCCATAAAAGTGATAGGTAACTATTTATTTCACTTACTTTATGTATTGATAACATAAGCATGTTTATCATTGAGTTTGCCTCTATTTGGATTATTTCCTGCCTAGGGACATTTGCTATACCTTTTCATATTGGCCATGGGACTGATTGGTGGCATTTTCTCTTTCTTTTGTTTGTAGGTTTCATTTTTTTAATTTGAAATAAATTATTGCCAGATATTCTGATGCAATTATTAAGATAATTGATAATTGATGCAGGATTTTTTTTTCTTTTTTTTGTTTAAAGATTGTTATAAATTATTAAGATATTCTAATGACTTTCTTATTTTCTAGGTACTGTGCGTTTTAATCTTGATCCGTTTAATGAACATAGTGATGCGGATCTTTGGGAGGCTCTTGAACGATCCTATTTGAAGAATGCGATTTCTAGAAATGCATTGGGTTTGGATGCCGAGGTATGACTTCATATATTTTATTTGAATTTTTGTTTAGTGCAACATATTTGAAAATGCTTCCGGTTTTTTCTTTTTCCCCCCCATTAAGTGTCATCCGGTTGTCTTGATGAATGATGTTTTACAAGGTATTTTAGAAAATCAGCACACTTGGGGAAATGCAAGGAGAAAATAAAGGGTTAAATGCAAGAAATAGCAACATGTCACCATTGGTTTTTCTATAACATCCTACTTTCATTTCTTCCTATTACTATTTTGTACACATTGAAAATTTTTCAAAATGCCTTGATAAGAAAAAAAAATCTGACATTACAATGCTTTAAGTGGATAGATTTTTAAAATATACTAAGATGTACTTTAAAGTCATCGACTATGGAATTAATTGGATTTTTATTTGAAGTATTTGAGAATATTTGAAAAAACTTGGACCTTATTTAATTTTTCTCCATTAAATGTCCTCCTGAATTCCTGATAAAGTATTTGAGAAAATGACGGGATACATGGGGAAATGGTAGGAAAAATATAAAGGGTAAATGCAATTTCATTTCTCCTATTACAACATTATACATTGAAAACTCTACCCAATCATAACATTGTCTGTCTGTCTGTCATCTAAATGCAAAACACTTCTCACTGCTATAATTGGACAGACTTTTCAAAGTATAATATCTTAATAAGAGAAAAATTGGAAGTACAATGCTATGCCCTATAATTGGGTGTATATATATCAAAACACATTGCCTTAATAAGAAAAGAATTGAAAGTAGTATGCTGGAATAGAAACAAGTGAATGTTGGGTTGGGTTGGGTGGTATAATAATAGCAGCATAACTTAATGAAAGTAGGTTTGTATTTGTTGTGGTTAGTCCAAAAATAAATGAAGGGAAAGTTAGGAATTAATGGTGAAAGCCTTGGTTCCTTGATTTTCGGGTGTATAAAAAATTAAAAATTAAATGGTGGGGTGTGGTGAGGCGATTATGAATGATATATATATATATATTTTTAATAAGGTATTGGTTGATGAATGATGGATGGGTTGGTTTGGTTGTAATGAAGGTGTCGGAGGGAGGGGAGAACTTTAGTGTTGGACAAAGACAACTACTGAGTCTTGGTCGGGCGTTGCTAAGGAAATCAAAGATTCTTGTTCTGGACGAAGCAACTGCAGCAGTTGATGTCAGAACTGATCATCTTATACAGAAAACAATACGCAAAGAATTCAAATCATGCACAATGCTCATTATCGCTCATCGCCTCAATACCATCATTGACTGCGCTCGGATTCTCGTGCTCCAGAATGGTCAAGTATGTTGGAATGAATATGTTTATCCTTTAGGACTAAATAAATAAGCTTTCTAGGGCTATTTCCAATGATAAGGATGAGGAGGCCATTTTTGTCTTTTTCATATATATATATATATATATATATATATATATATATATATTGCAATTTTTGTCAGACATAAGTCCCACTCCTAGTCCATGCCTTGTACTGCGTTTGACTGACATGCATTGGACTAGGAGGAACGGAAGTTGGAGACCTCTCACTCCCTTCCTTGTACAAAATTCATCCTTAGAATGGTTTTCAAGCCTAGTTTAATCCCATGTAACAAAAGTGAAGCAAAGCAGTTTTTTACTTTTTATATCAAAGCTGTTTGTTAAACATGAATTTGTTTTTCCAGATTGTGGAATATGATACTCCAGAAAGATTAATATCACATGAAGGGGCGTTCTTGAAGATGGTTCAAAGTACAGGGGCTGCAAATGCTCAGTATCTACAGGACATTGTACTAGGCAGAGAAGGAAATAAACAAGTTCACAACTGATTGCTGACAATGACCCATACCCATACCACAAATTGAAATTGGTCTGGAAGGATATCAGATTGAAACTCATGGTGGAAACAATATTTTGGTGCAGCAGAAGAAGAAAACACGGCTCTAGTTATGTTGGTAAAAGTCAACTAACAAGGACCTTCAATTCATTCTACCATTAAGACACATTTATTTGTAGGGTATATATGTTGAAAGGGTGTTTTGATATACACCTTAATCTAGTATACTATGAATTATGTTGGGTTTTGTTTTTCCTATCTTTTTAAACCTCAAATCATTACATAAAATAATCATTGTTTATCTTTTCAATATTATTTTATTACTATTTAGAAATTTTCAAATTGATTTTTTATTATTGTTTTTAATTTTTAAATTTTAACATTATTATTTATTAACATAATATATCAGAATATATAAATATATTTAGTTGCTTTTAATGTGTATTATATGATTAAAAAATAACGTTATAACATTAATATTATACGCTTAATTAACATTTTTTTTTAATGTTATGTAATATACCTCAGTGACTATAGTAGTAATATTCATGTTAATTAGTATGGTAATTTATCAAGTTTTATTTTATTTTTTACCTTATCTAAAATAAAAAAGACAAATAATAACGAAACATAATATATTAGTCACAACTATAAGTACATAAAACTAGTTATATTTAAAAAATATCGTTAATAATAATGCATGAAAATGACATATTTTTAATCAGCATATGTTTATATGTTTTCGTAAAAATAATTTTAAAATCAATTTTTTTTAATGTGTAACATATGGTTTTTTTTTAACGTAAGTTTTGGTTTTATATAATATATAAGTTTTGCTTTTATAAAATGTTTAAGTTTTGCTTATAAGATGCATACCTTTTGGTTTTATCAAATATAAAATACAATTAAAATCAACAAACAACTAATAAATATATAAACTAAATAAATGATGTCTCTGTAGGTGGTATTACAAATACGATGTTTAAATTATCTTTGTCCTTATACCCAAAAAAATATCCGCTAGTCGTTTTCGATAACCCAAAGTCCATGGACCGGTTTAACCCTCTACAGAAATCGATTTCCCGGTGATCAACGCCTCCAAGAACCAACACAAAAACACTCCACAATCCCCTCTGCTGTCAATCTATTGTGATACGTTTGGGGCATTTTCCAGGGTCATTTTGAAGCTCTAAAGTGGGAGTGAATCAGTTGGTTCGGTATCCCAGTAGTTGACTCCCACTAGCAGTTTGTGGATGCGAACTCTCAGACCTATAAACCAATCCTCATTTTCCAAATAATAGCCGCCCTTCCAGTGACTATCGTATATAGTCATTTTGAATGTCTTCAAATCCAAAGAACCCAAAAACCAATAAGCTTGTGGTATGTTGATTGGGATGTAAAGCTACAAGAAATGTTAGAAATAATTAATTAGTATATAAATACTCAGATAATGTAATCCAAACAAAATTATACCGTATCACACTCTGCCCAAGCTGGATAAATGGATCCGTAAGTCATGTCACTCCAGTCAAATAATTATATTACTTGCATTACATGACAACCATCCTCCATGACTATCTGCATATAACTGTGTCCAAAACTCAGGCGTAGCAAAACCGATCAAATAATTGTGAGCACACAACAACGAACCATCCCGTTCTTTATATATAATGTGTACGATAGGATCTACAAGATTGTCCAACTGTGCTGGTTGTTGCCGTGTAACACATTTCCTCTTTATTTGTATCCATGGAGACTTATACCATATGAACATAACTTTTTGGCGTTTAGAACGCATAAGAGGTGCTTGCGCCAGTGTTTTGTAATCATCTCGCGAAATCTTTATTACATCTGACGGGTGAATAACCGGAGACTGCTGCTCAGGGCTGACATTCAGCGGCTGTTTAGGGCTGCATTCAATGGCTTTTCGGGGCTGCTTAAGACATAATCATGCTACCATAACTCACTGTCATTGTAGTATCCCTGTATGGTTCAATAATGTATACTTGTAAACGATGCAAAAACATAACGACAATAAACGACGAAATAATTAAAAATGTACCTCCATCCCCTTCATAACATTGACGGACCTCATTTTTCAATTGACCGACGCCGTTCTGCAAGTCACTAATAATGGTCTTTGTCAATTGATGGGTTAGCGGGTAGCGGTGGTGGTGGTGGCGGGTGAAATGGATCATCTATCTGTGCCTTCTTTTCTTGATGCTCATGGGTAGGGAAGTTTTTGGGTGATGGTGTTAGGGAAGGTGCCATGTGAATTTTAGGGTCGGGAAAATCAGGTCGATCAATCCACGCCGAGCTAACAACCCACCATCCAGCACACATCTCATTTTCCGTCGGCTCCAACTTCGGTACGAGTCTATTACCCTGCTAACAAAATTATAAAATTATAAATAAACATACATTATAAAATAAATATTTATTTAAATAATAAAGTAACCATATGTCGTCTATTAGTAAAAACTGGTTGCATTGAGTCTTTTGTAACGACCTAAGTTTTAACCATGTAACAGCCTGATGGATCATATTTTGTTGTCAGGTACCAAATAAACTGCTCACCGAGAAAGTCTCAAGAATCCATATCTGAACGTTAGCAAACAAATAAATAAAAAATTGTTAGAATGTTAGGAAACAAAAATAAATAATAAAATTTTCATTATATACTTACCTTAAAAGTGTATAAAAACCCCTGTAGGGTGTAGGTCAATTTTTGAGATTCATTCTCTTTCGGTTCTTCTGAATGTATAAGCTTCTCAAGCTTATTAGTATGTAGTTGTTTGTACAATTGATCCCAAATTATCCTCCCCCATGGATATCTGCAACATAAAAAATTAGTTAACAATTTAATTTCTAAAAAGTATTAGTAACGATATGTAATTTAATTAATCAATAATTATAAAATAGATGACATTATACCTGTTGAATTCATCAAGGTTGGATAGCAAAGTGAATTACTCTTTTGTAACAGGTTGTTTAGCCAAACGTCCATTGAAACCCTTCTATAAGAGGTATAGAAGACATACACGGACTGCATCCTCGTCCGATAACTCATTAAGTGATTGTTTAAACACATCCGTAACATGGTGTAATTTGACTGATACATTCGTCGGGACCATAAGAAAGGTACTGGAACGAAAGGCGGCACTGGATGCAGAAGCAGGAAAATAGTCACCAAACCGGAAGCCGGTGATGAGACGAAATTCTTTCTTCCTGAAAGACAACTTGTAACCCCCAATCTTTAAAAACCATTTCCTCTACTTGGCTTCAGGGGTCGGTGACAACTTCGTGGGAAAAGACGTAATGTAGACGTGAAGGATCCCCATCTACATTAGGAATGTCTAACCACCTCCCGAAACATATCTTTTGGAACATAGTCTCACATTTGAGTATGTTTCTGAATGTCGCAAGGATTTGCCCGCCGATTTTGGGTTTACACGAGAGTGTAATTAATGCATCAACAATCATGTCGTGCTGCACAAATAAAAAAAGTGTTAGCAATTCATTCTAAAATGGAAATGACCAATATTTCGGACTAGTTTCGAACATGTTCTTCATGTTCTGGACACGTTTATCGTGTTCCGGAATGGTTCTTCGCGTTCCGGAGCCTTTCGGAATGACATTTTAAGATCCGGAACACGACATTTCGATGTAAATCAACAATAACTAAACATCTAAACTACTTTTCAGTTGGTCCTACAACAATGACATATTTAATTTACACTCTGAAACATTTTCAGTTCATTCCGGAGGTGGTCTACGACATCCGAAACAGTAGAAAATGAAGAACATACCCGTAAAACAACGGGGTCGTAGTGCTCGTCTTCCATGTCAGAGATGGGTGTCGAGTCGGAACGTCGCAATCAAGTCGGAATGTCGGAATCGAAATGCGCCTTTCCAAAATGAAGTTGCCGCCTCAAATTATATTCTGGATTTTGAAATTCAAAATCCCGATCCGGAACATATACGGGTCCTCCGAAATAGGCATTCCGGACCCTATGAAATGGGCCGGGCCACCCGAAAATTAATCCGGAATTCGTTCCGGAATGATCCATTTCGGAATATGTGGTTATTTTTTTAAAAAAGGTTATATTTTAAAAAAACCCAATAAAGTGGTAAGATTACTTAATTTCCCTAATATTAAATGTTGAAAAATTATGACAAAATGTTTCAAAAATTTTAAAGGTATTGCAAGAACTCAATGAAGAATTTATCTAGAGATATTCACCAATAATTACCAAATTGTTTTGGATGCTAGTCACCAACAATTCCCACTTCTTCCATTTCTATAAACTCTTTCGACAGAAAAACCAATTACCAAATTGTTTTCGATGCTAGTCATTCTTGTAATAAAAGAATTTCTTAAGCAATTAAGACAAATGAACTAGTTTGTTTTAAAAGAGTATTCCAAGTATCATGATCTTCTAACTTTAGCTTAACCATCTAAGACATAAAGAGGGAGAAAGAGGTGCTAAAAATGGGAATTCATCAATTGATTAAAGAATAAAATGCAAGCCTCTTAAACACTTTAAGAGTAGTCATTACCCATTGAGTTTGTCCACTTTATGCACCATGCTTCTATTAATAAAAGCCTATAGATTAAAGGGTATGTTTTAATTAATAATTAAGTCAACCTTGTCTTTTATTCCTTACCCTCTAGCCCTCAGTTTTAGAAGAAAAGAAAGAAGAAAATGGCTGCCATTTTTTATATAGAAAATAAATCTTAAAACCCTTATAAAAGACTTATATTTTCCATGCATGTCCTTCTCATGTTCATGACTAATGGTTATAAAGGAAACATGCTTCCAAAGTATGTGATTCTTAATATTACGAGCATAAAGGATAATAACAAAACTAGTCTTACCAATAGTCACGTTTTTGACATTTAAAATGGTATGAAAGAAAGACTCTTCTTTATTAATATATTTATAACTGACATTCATTCAATTTATATAACAAACCCATTATTTATATATATAAACAAGAATGTACATAGCTATATAAATCATACCTTATGATATTATTTTGATACTTGTTATTGAAATTTATTATTTTCATAAAATAAGTAATTTCCAATTAATTACAAGAGTTATAAATATTTATCAAAATCAAATTGTTATAAATAATATATTTGTGACAACTTGTTATTGGTGTGACCCTTTACGATCATATGTTATTAACAACTATCATTATGACATGATTCTTGAGCATATATATCCAAAAATTTACCATTTGCATAAGACTTATTATAGATTGATATAGACAATGGTGA